AACTTGGAACAACGTCCCGCCCTGACCCAGGAGACGTGGTTCGCCAAGGCGAGCCCGGAGTTGGCCGCCACCGCGCGCGCGGCCGTGGCCCCGGCGAGCGCGGAGAAGACCAGGCCCGCGGAGCGCGGGGCAGGGTGCCAGCTGAGCAAGACCGACACCAAGGGCGACAACGACCATAGTGCGCCGGGAGGCGAGGGCGCGCCGAAGGAGACGCCGGAGGGCCACAGTGGCAGCTGGCGGCGCGGTGGTGGATGGGCCCCGCAGTCCACCGCCACGAGGCCCAGGGAGCCCGCGCAAAACGCGCAGGAGGACCAGCACAGCAAGGGCGACAGCTCGGGCGGCAGCTGGTGGCGCGGCGGCTGGAACGCCGCGTGGTCGAACACCTCGCGGTCGAGCGCCGAGTGGGGCCAGGCGTGGGCGGGCGGCGCGCCCCGCGGACAAATGCGCGCGATCGCATTTTCCGGGGCACCTCGGGCGGCGCGCGGAGAGAAGAGAAGAGCGCGGCCAGTTCCCCCCCGCGGTCTGCTTGGGGGAGACAGGGGGTGAATGTCTAAGAAAGTTCTTTCTGCGCGATGCCGGGGGTGCCCCTGGGATGCGCATTTTCGCCGCGGAGCCTGCGCTGTCCGACGCAGGGGCGGCAGCAGCGCGCGCGGCGCGATGGCGGTTCCTCGCGCAGTTGGGGGAACTCCGACACGCAGAAGTGGCAGTCCTCGGCGCAGACGCAGGGAGCCTGGAAGAAGCGCAATCACTGGGACTGGCAGGGGGAGGAGGGCGCGGACTGGAAGCGGCAGAAGTACTGGGAGAAGGAGCCCGACGCAAAGGAGCGAGGCCGCGAGCAGATGTCGGGGAACCGACTGGAAGAGCAGGGGTGGCAAACGGCCGGAGACCGGGGGCTGGGCCAGACGGAGCGCGGCCGCGAGCAGAAACTGGAGCAGAACGCGCAGGAGGTGCAGCGCCAGACGGACGCGGAGCAGGGGCGCAAGCAAGAGGACCGCGGCCCCCAGCAGGACTCGGCAGACATGGAGAAGAACGAGGGCCAAACGGACGCCGTCGAGAAGGGGGGGAAGAAGCGGGACCCGCACGACCACGTGTCAGGTCGCAATGCGTAAACCCAAAGGTGACCATCGCGGAGGGTTGCGCGCGTTCAGGCTGGCGCTGGGCCCGCCCTCGCTCTGCCCGAACGCGCCCCTTCCTAGCGTGGCGCCCATGGTTTGCGCCGTGCAAGGCGGCGCTCTCCAGGAGACCCAGGAAGAGGCCGACTTCAACGCCGAGATGCGGTCGTGGCTCGACGAGACGGCATGGAGGCAGAGCAAGACCCCGAAGAACGGGCATCTCGTCTGGTTTCACATCGACTTGCAGGAGTCGTTCTGGCAGAAACCCACCCCTGCAGAGCTCGCCGAGCAGAAGACGAAGGGCGAAATCGTCGTGAAGGCGGCGAAAATCTTTCTCCGGGGAGGGAGTGCGCAGGGAGCGGCCATGGCGGGGCGCGTCGGCATGAGCGAGCAGGAGGTGAAGGACCGGCACGCTGTTCTGCAGGCGGCGGCGAAGCGCAGGGAGCAGAGGCAGGGCCATCGGCGTCAGAAGTTGCTCGGGATCTGACCCGCGCGCACGTGAGACGGCCGGAGTGGCTGCGGGAGGCGGGGCGCTCGTCGGGGGAGGGGGGGGGAGGATGAGGAGGGGGAGGACGATGATGATGATGATGATGAGGAGGAGGAGGAGGAGGAGGAGGAGGAGGAGGAGGGGGAGGAGGAGGACGGAGGAGAAGAGGAGGCGCAGGCGGGAGAGGCGGGCGAGGTAGGCGAGGGCGGGAGCGGGAAGGCAGGATGAGGAGGATCATTATGCGCAGGAGGGGGCGGATACGGAAGAGGGGGTGGAGAAAAGGCGGAGGAGGCGGGGGCTGTCAGGGATGATGAGCACGAGGGGCAGGCGGTAAGTGCAGCTGATGCACGACGTGATTGTTTATTATGTTTTCGCCGCGCCTTTCACGGGCGTGCGCGGGGGGGGGCAGTCTCCGCGGCCCGCGGCCAAAAGCATTGGCATCCTTCCTTCCCCCTCCTCCTCCCTCCGTTCCCACCCACCCCGCCGGAGAACGCAGCAGAAACAGCGAGGGCGTATCTGGGGTTCCCCGGGGATGCCCATGAGGTGCCCGGGGGCGGAAACTTCTGGAAGCCCCAGCCGCCTTTCGATAGCTAAAAAAACGTTTCCCGGCCGACCCCGCGCCAGGCCTTCTGTCGACGCGGAAAATGTATGAACGCCATCTGGGGAAACAGATGATCCGAAGTTTCCGGACACCCTTCGTCCTGGAATCGAACAAAAACCGGCGCTAACGACGAATATGTTTCTTTTTTCCGGCGCTCTGGGCCCCCGGGGGCGCGCAAGGGGCCTAACGGCGCAGAATGGCGCAAAATCGATGGCACGTGCAATACAAATCGCAAGGGAAATGCGCCAGAGGCTTCTTGGAATCCCCTCGCGGTAGGAAGGCGTGCAAAAACCGGCCATTATCGACCAAAATCTTCGGCCGTGGCCGTAACCACACCCAGACCCAACCCCAGAAAGACAAGCAGAGCCAGAGCCAGAACCATAGCCAAAACCAGAGCCAGAGCCGGCCCCAGAGCCAGAACCAGAAGCAGAACCAGAGCCAGAACCAAAGCCAGACCCAGAACCAGAGCCAGAAGCAAAGCCAGAACCAGAACCAGAGCCAGAGCCCGAACCAGATCCAGAGCCAAAGCCCGAACCAAAGCGAGAACCACAGCGAGAATCAACACCAGAGCCAAAGCCAGAACCGGAACCAGAGCCAAAACTAGAAGCGGCACCAGAGCCAGAACCAGTGCCAGAACAAGAACCATAGCCAGAGCCAAAACCAAACCCAGAACCAGAGGCAGAGCCAGAACCAGAGCCAGAACCAGAACCAACACCATCATGACCAGAGTCAGAACCCGAGCCGGAGCCAGAACAGAACCTGACCCAGAGCCAGAACTAGAGCCTGAACCAGAGCCGGCCCCAGAGCCCGAAACAAAGCCAGAACGAGAACCATAGCCAGAACCAGAACAGAAACCAGAGCGTGAACCAGAGCCAGATCCAGAAGCAGAACAGGAACCATAGCCAGAACCAGAACGAGAGCCAGAGCCAGAACCAGAACCAGAGCCAGAGCCAGAGCCAGAACCAGAACCAGAGGCAGAGCCAGAGCCCGAACCAGAACCAGAGCCAGAACCAGAACCACAACCAAAGCCAGATCCAGAAGCAGAACCGGAACCAGAGCCATAACCAGAACCTTAACGAGAGCCAGAGCCAGAACCAGAACCAGAGCCAGAACCAGAGCCAGAGCCAGAGCCAGAACCAGAACCAGAGCCAGAGCCAGAACCAGAACCAGAACCAGAGCCAGAGCCAGAACCAGAACCAGAGCCAGAGCCAGAACCAGAACCAGAGCCAGAGCCAGAGCCAAAGCCAAACCCAGAACCATGGGCAGAGCCAGAGCCGAGCCGGCCCCAGAGCCAGAACCAGAGCCAGAACCAGAACCAGAGCCAGAGCCAAAGCCAGACCCGGAACCAGAACCAGAGCCAGAGGGCCCTCTTGGACGCCATCGTGGCCGTCTGGAGGCTGAAAAGAACGCCGGGGAGCAATTTCAGGGGGGCCAGTCTGCGACGGGCGCGCGCGAGGGGGAGGGGGGGGGGGGGCGGCCCTAGAAAAATAGAAACTTTCCCAAAAATGGACCAGATGAGCATTCTAACACGCCCACTCCGTGCAGGCACGGTGGCGGATTTCGGACGCCTTTGAGGCAGTCTTGGGGCTCTCGTGGAGCATTGTTCAGCGTTTCGGAGGCTGCGTTGGGGACATATTGGAGACCATCTAGGCAGCCGAAGAGGCAGCCTCCAAGAAATTGTCGACGCTTCGCGCATCCCCACCAGCCCATCCAGAAACGCCGCCAGGGGAGTTGAAGTGATGAGGCGACCTTGGAGCGCCTTTGGGAGCTTTCGAGGCGCTCTTGGGGCCATCTTGGAGGACATCGATCAAAGAAGGGGATGGTCGCAATTCGCCCTGCCCCTCGGGAGTCCCAAGAATCCCCTCCTGGACCCCTCTTGGGGCGATCTTGGAGCGCTTTTGGCCTCTCTTGGGACAGTATTGGGGCTCTCTTGGGCCTCTCTTGGGGCCCTCATGGGCCCTCTTCGAGCTGACTTGAGGCCTCGGAAGGCCATCGGAAGCGAAAAGGCGAGAAAGCAACAAACATTGATTTCTGTGGGTTTTGTAAAGATTGGGGAGCTTTTTGGCAACTAAGGTCCGTCTTGGGGCGGTCTTGGGGCCTCTTGAAGCATCTTGGAAGCCATATTGAGCGTTCTTGCGCTCTGTTGAGCTATCTTGGAGGCCATCTTGGACTCTCTGAGGCCCTTTTGGAGCCGTCTTGGGCTATCTTGGACGCCCCAACGCGTCGCGGAACGCCTCGTCCAGGTGCAGGGGGAGGGGGTAGGGGGAGGGGCACACCCTTCCTCGATGGGGAAGAAGGGGGTTGGAAGAGGAAACTCCTTAGACCACCTACGCCCAGAGGGCTGGTGGGACTACTCCACAGGTCGCCGGATGTCATTGGAGGAATAAAGAGGTGCTCCTCCTCTTGGTGCTGCTCCTCCTCCTTCTCCTTCCCCGCTCTAGTCTGCGTAAGCATTTTGGCTCGAGCCGTCTTTCGCTCGCGTCTGGCGGACGCTACTTCGCTGTCCTGCATGCTGCCCGTGCGGCCATTATGGTCTCCACGCCAGTCGTCGACTTCCCCTTCTTCACCGCTTCGCCCGGCGGCGCAGCAACCACTCCTCGCGCCGCCTGGGACAGGAGGCGGTCGTGAACACGGTGGCCGCTGCACTGTGGACGCTGGCGCGGCGCCAGTGCGACCGTTGTGGCGAACAGCGGACCTGCGGGCGCACCGCCAACCGTCCGCCAGTGCTCCTCCGCCGCCGGTGCGGCCGCTGTGGAAGGCTTGCGTTGCAGTTGCGCGCCCGGGGCCTGGGCCCCAGGCCATGGAGGCGCTTGCCGGCGCAGACGACGCCGTGCGTAGTTCCGCCGCGGCAGCCGCATCCTGCAGGGGTTCCGGCGCCAGTGGCGTTGCGGCGGCGCATCCGCGGTCTTGCTCTGCTACGCGCCCAGGGTCCGGCCCGCGGGCCATGGGCGCGCCCGCAAGCTCACGCGACGCCGTGCCTGGTTCTGCCCCGGCAGCCGCATCCAGCGGGGGCTCCAGTGCTGCAGGCGCCAGGGCGGCGCTCCTGCCAGAGCTCACGACGACCTGGTCATGCTGCCCTGTTTGTTCGGGCCCGTTGGTCCCTGTGCCGCAAAGGGGCCCGGTGAAATTCTTAGTTGTGGCGGAGCCGCGGTGTCTTGTAATGCGTCACTACGCCAAACAATGCAAACGCAGTTGCGACAAGGGGCACATGTATAAGTACTGGCGTGGGTACGTTGAGTCCCCTTCTGGGAATGGCCAGGGCGGTTTCACGAAGAGGGTGGATACCGGTTGTCCTGCGTCAGAGATCTTCATGCTCAACAAGTCTTTCGGCGTGCATGATCAGTGGGCGCAGCGGTGGGCCTGCCGCTTGTACGCGCACAGGGCGCCCTTCCTTGGAGAGGCCCAGATCTTGCGGGCGTTGGAACCAGAAGTCGCCACGGAGACTCTGGAGCAATCGCTGGAATCCGCATGGGTGCGGCACCAGATGTGGCAGAGATCTTTGGAGCGCGAGGGCGCTCGCGCTGCCCTGGCAAGCTCTTTGTTGGAATTGCCTCTGGAGAGCTTCCTGCAGAGTTGCGCATCCTGGCACCGCCCTCTCATGAAGGAGCGCCGCCTCCGCGCGTGGCGGGCCAGCGGAGACAGGATGGACATCGTCTGCGTCGACGGCAACGCCAAGCTGCACCGGCGATCGTGCGGCGCGCCGTGCGCCGAGGCCGTTTACCACGACGCCCTGGACTTGCACTTGGTGCGTGGTTGCCCAGAGTCGCCTTTGCAGAAAGGAGTGCTTTGCCGGCGTCACCAGGAGCTCGCCGACCGCCCTGCCCTCGCCGGAGAAATCGAAGCGCACCGCGTGCGGGCGCCCCTGTCCGCCATGGCTTACCTCGACGTTGAAGTGCGAATGACGGGCTTCGCTAATTGGCAGCCCGCGTGCACGGTCCCCGACTCGACCGTGCAAGCGTATTTCGCTAAGAATGCAGAACAGGTCATTCAAGAGCGCAAACGCCGTCGTCAAGAGCGCAGGGAGTTGCGCCGACAACCGCTTCGCTTGGTCTTAGGCGACTGGGCTTCCGGATACGCTAAAGACAATTAAGTGCTCGTGCAAGACGCACAAGTAGTCTGTCTCGGCCATCCGCGCGGCAGAACGGTCGGCCGGCTTCCTTGCCGCAGTCTCAGAGAGCGGGATTGTCGGTGCTCTTGAAGAAGTGATTACTGCTGAGACGCTTTCCCAGCGCTATTGCTTTTTGGCAGACGTGGCAAGTGCCGTCCCGGAGCTCAAGGCGCTCGTGCACGACGACGCGTGCCGCGTGCGTTTATTCGCCAAGGGCAGGGCGGAGGGCGCAGCGCCCGGCAGCCTGGCCGTTCGCCTGGGCCAGTTTCGGTACGTCGTCGACCGACCCCACAGCAAAGGGCACGTCGATGCCACGTGCAAGGCGGAATGCTTCCCAGACGTGCCCGCGAACGCTGCCGCCCTGGGTGATTTCCCCACGCCGATATGCGAGTCTGTCAACGCGCAGCTGTCGCCCTTGGCGCACACCGTACACCACATGGGGCGGTGGGTCTGCGACTTCATCGTGGGCGAATGCGTGGACGTTCACAATGAGTTGCGCGCCCAGGAAGCGGCGCGCGGGGCTGCCAGGGCGGCCCGGAAGGCAGCCCGGCTCGACCGCGCGCTTCCCCCACGCCCGGTGCCCGCAGAGATTCCCGCCGCGGGCTCGGCCCCGGCAGGAGCGCCCGCGTGCGCGGGCAGGGCAGCGGCCGCGGGCGCCGCCCCGGATGCGGCGCAGGCGATTATCGCGCGCCGGAGGCTCTTGCCGGTTTGGGCAGCTGCTCTCGCTGACGGCGAGAAGTTTTTCGAGTGCCATGGGTATTTTAAAGGGCACCCTGGGAACACAATGGCTTTCGCATGCCCTGGGGCCCGGGTCATTTTCGGGAAGGACACCGCTGCCGGAGTTGCGGTCTGCGCTGGGCCAGCGCAGCGCGGCTGCAATGCCGACGACGCGCAGCGCTTGCTCCGCGCGATTCCGGAGCGCCTCCGTGACGAGCTGACCGCGTACCTCGCCCCAGCTCTCTCGTTCGACGTCCTGCACATGGGCGCTGTCTTCGATCTCCGCCCCTCGGCGTTGACGTGGCCCGCGCTTGAGGAGGCGCTTGCCGCGCAGCCGCTGCTGCAGAATCAAGGCTTCCCGCGCTTCCACGGTGGCGATTTAAATGCGCGCCTGGATGCGCTCTGTCGGCGACCTGGCGTCGTCGTCCGGCGGCCGCCCCCGCCGGTCCGGCCAGATTAACGGCGCTTGTTCAGCGGCAAGGCGCCGCTTGCATGCGCCGGGCGAGGTTCCCGCAGCCCCTCCTTTAGAATCGGGCAGCCGGATTCAATGCAAAGGGGGCCGCAAATGCGCGCGCAGGTGCATGCAACTGTTCGCACTGCGCGCATTCATCATGCAATGCCCCGCGCAGTAATCGGGATGCAATAGTTCGTGCGCTCGAATGCGATGATTTGCTTCTGCGTTACAATTGCTTGCTTAGTCTCGCTTTCAGGGAACAATGGTTTGCAATCGCTGTCGTGACAAGATGCCATAGCTTTGCCTGGCCATGCGCCAAAGGTTTTGGTCGACACAATAATCGAGCCCGTCGTCGCAATAATTCGCACTAGTTCCGCGATGTCGTGCGGGGTGGCTCGCTCGCACAACGAACTCTTGCATGTGCATTCGCGGCCCCAATTGGAACGGCCCCCATTTGCCCGAAACCACCTCCTTGCGCGCCCTGACTTGCATTGGCTGAGCGCTGTCTGCGACAAGAAGGCCCGTCGCCGCAGTCGTCGTTGCCATGGTCGTCGCCATCGCCTTTGACGCCGCCGAACTCATCGTTGTCCAGCCAGTTCTCGCCCGTCCGCACGTCGTCGATGATGTCCAGGGGCTTTGGCGTCGTCTCCCGCGCCGTCAGATTCGTTGCGTCCGCCCCTCCGCCTTGCCCCGATTGCCATCGGCAACCGCAGCCGCTTCGGTTCTGAGTTTTCTTGAGGCCTCATTACCAGGGTTCGTAAACCAGGTGTCAGGTGCATTGAATTTCCCTGACATGTTCATGCGTGTCGCCAGCCACCGTCTGATTGCACGCGACTGACTCATTGCTTATCCGACAGTTGACATCCTCGGGCAACCGAATGTTTGCGTTCCCGCCTGACCCCATGTCGACGGTCTCTCGCAGTTGCAGGATTGGACGTTGGGAGGATGGGGCGTCGACTGTTCCCGGGCAGTTTTTTTTCGGTGGGGGCCCAACAACCGGTTGATTTGGGCCTACCGCTCGGCCCATTCCGATTTCACGCCTTGCTAGCGCACTAAGGGGGGCTGCCCCCCCCCAAAAAAAAAAAAGAATAAGAAACGATAAAGAAGACACATACATCAATACAACGAAACATAACAACAAACGAACAAACACAACGCGAACGCTCATATGTTAATTAGACAAGGCGGTGGTTTGTTTTGGACAGGGGGTGGAACGTGCAGTTCATTTGTCGGGAAAGTGGCTAGTGGCGCGATCGATCGGCGGCGGTGATTAGACATATGCGGGAATCCTCCAAAAGCTTCACTCCCATGCATTCACCGCGGCACGTGCCACTTTGTTATCAAGCTACATAACCTAACACCTGGTTTGTACTCCCCGGTTAATTGCTCCTTCACTTGCGCACGCGTGCAGGGCGACGCCTTCTCTGAGGTTTGCCGCAGGACATATGGCCCCCTCTAACCGGGCGCCCGAGATTACAGGCGCGGAGATCCAGGCCTTGGCAGACGCCGTGAGCGACTACGTTGACAACAACTTCTCGGCGAGCGAGCACCTCCCCGCGGAGCTGCAGAAGTTGTTGCGCCCGCTCGAGGTGGCCACTGGCCAGGGGGCGCCGCCCGTGCTCGCCATGACGGCGGCCGCGATGGCCGGCCTCAGCAACGGCGCCAACATCCAGCCTCTGGACTTTTGGATCCAAATTGCGCCGCAGCAGTACATGCATTGACGCTCCTCCTCGTGGATTGCCCCCAAGCCCAGTAGAAGGCGGCGGCGCGTATATCACCGCTGAGAGCCGGCGATTTCATGCGCCGCCGCCCTCCAAGGAATGGGGGGCAACGCACCGGCGGGCGTCTCTGCGTGGATTTCTGTGACGCGCGTAGCGCCGCGCCCACGCTGCGCGCATTCCCTTCCTCCTATTTGCCCCCCCCCCCGCGCTTGCGCCCGCCCCAGGAACGCGGGCGCCACCCCGCTGTCCGCGATGGCGCTGTACGGGGGCGACGCGCAGCAGGGGAAGAGCCGCACCACTGCTGCCGTCTCGGCAATGATCGCTGCTGCCGACGATGAGATTGCAGCGGTCGTGCAGGAGCGCCTCGATTCCGCAGAGCCGCCTGCAGGCGTTGCCGCGGAGGTTTGGGAGAGCAAGAAGCCGCGGCAGGTCACGGTGAAAACCATTGGAATGCAGGACTTCACTCCCACTGAGCTCTTCGCCCGGTGCTCGGGGGACTGGGGTCAGATCGAGGACCGCTTTGGCCGCAACGCTGGGCGGGCGAAGGGCCGCGGGGCTCCTGAGCGACCCCCCTTCTGCCCTCCGCCCCCCCCCGCGCCCGAAAGAAAATGTTCGCCAGCGTGGGCCCCAAACAGTAGGTTCTTGCAATATACGCGGCGCAATCAACGTGGTGCAGTTCATCTTCGGGAAATTGAAGGCGTCATCTCCCGTGCTCGTGCAAACACCCCACCCACCCACCCGCAACTTGTTCGGCAAAACGCATTGGGCCACGCCTGCAATTATCCAGCAAAGCTGCTGAGCAAATCGCAACATGCGCGCTGGCACGCAGGCCGTGATCGCGCAGGATGGCATGAGTTTACAGTTAGGATGGGCGAGGGGCCAGAGTCATGTGTACATTGCATGTCCGGAAAAGGGGGTTGATAAGTCCGTGTGTGTGTGTGTATGTGTGTGTGTGTGTGTGTGCGTGTGTGCGTGTGTGCGTGTGTGCGTGTGTGCGTGTGTGTGTGTGTGTGTGCGTGCGTGTGTGTGCGTGCGTGCGTGCGTGCGTGCGTGCGTGCGTGCGTGCGTGCGTGCGTGCGTGCGTGCGTGCGTGCGTGCGTGCGTGCGTGCGTGCGTGCGTGCGTGCGCGTGCGTGCGTGCGTGCGTGCGTGCGTGCGTGCGTGCGTGCGTGCGTGCGGCGTGCGTGCGTGCGTGCGTGCGTGCGTGCGTGCGCGCGTGCGTGCGTGCGTCGCGTGCGCGCGGTGCGCGTGCGCGCGCGTGCGCGCGTGCGTGCGCGTGCGTGGCGGGGGGGGGGGGGGGGTAGAGTCTATATTTGTTCTAGAAAGGAAAATGTATGCGATGCAACCTATGTAATGCAATACATGCGGTGCAATCTATGTGGTGCGCTCTATGTGGTGCAATCTACGAGGTGCAACCTCACGCAGTGCGGCGGCGACGGACGGCGACGGGCGCCACCGCCCGCAAAAGCCGGGGGCGGTCCCCAGACGGGCGGCGGCGACTGACGGCGACGGGCGGCACCGCCCGCAAAAGCCGGGGACGGCCCCGAGATGGTCAAGCCAAGCAAGAGCCCCTAAGTGCAAGCACTGTTTTGGGAATCGTCGATTACCCTGACTTTCTATTTGGGTACTTGGGCCGCGCGCCCGAAGTGGAAATTCAGCATTGCTTTTCATGGATTAGCTTCCGCGGCCAGAGCGAGGTTCTGACGCGCGCAAAACTTTGCTTTGGTCGCGGGGTTTAGTGCGCCAGCCCCCGCAGGAGGTCAAGGAACATGACGTGCTTTCAGCGTGGGCGCCACGCGCCTGGTACAGCACGATGGTGAACCTAGACGAAGCCTACAGTTTTCTTGGCCAGATCGGCCTCACCACCAGCGAAGTCCGCGGCGGGGCTGCCAGGGACACCGCGCCGTCCCAGCACGCCTCAACGATCAACACCCTCATCGGCACGGGCAAGCTACAGCGTGACACGAGAACCAGCGGTTCGCACGGCAGCGTTGGATCTCCTGCTGTCAATGTCGCCATCATCGGCAATTGGCACTGGAAGATGCTGATGGCCGTGGAGAGAGGGCACGTCGGCAACCACGTGGCGGCCACGAAAGAGCGGAGCATTTATTGCGCTGGCCCGGCCACCAAGCGCCACGAGCCTCTCCCCGCTGATTACGACATGCCGCGCGATAGAGAAGGGGCCATTTGCCCTCGCTGGACGCGGCTGCCGCTGACGGCAAGATTGGCGGACAGCTTCGGCTGGAGCGCATACTACCAGGAGCCTGCTCTCGCTGAGGAGGTCTTGAAGCCCGGGCCCGAGGACGAGGCCGAGGGCGAGGCGCGCCCCCTGAGCGCGGGCTCCGGGACCCAGCCCGTCGTGACGTTCATTGGGCCTCAGCAGGGGTTCAGGGTCCACCTGCCAGACGGCGCGGAGGTGCGCCTGCGGCATCAGTTCACCGATGGGGCCATGCAGACGCAGTACCGGATTTCCGCGAGGTGGATGCTGCCATCGCCGCGCGCGGCGCTGGCCCCGGGGGTGCGGCGCGTCATCGGCTACTTCAAGAACAGACCTCACTTCGCCATCCCGTTTGACCCGGCGGCGCGCGAACACCTCCTCGGAGCGCAGCTTGAGCAGAGCCTCCTCGCCAGCGCGTCCCGCGGGGAGGACGGGCCCGGTGAGGCCCAGCACGGGGCGGCGGCTGGCCAGATTGGCGTGTGGGCCGGGCTCGTGCGCATCCTGCGCGTGGCAGCCGCCGACTCAGACCCTGCAGAGGACAGCATCAAAATCGATACTGAGGATGTCGATTTGAGCCAGCGCATCGTGCAGATCAGTCTGCATATCAAGAAGCTGGCACGCGACACCGACCTGTCCGGCTTGCCGCGTGACCCGCGCGAGACTGCGGGGGCTGGGCGCCCTCCCGTTCGCGGGGATTACGACCGCCGCCGCTTCGTGCCCCCGTACTTGTCGCAGCCGCTCGCAGAGACCGCCGAGGACGGCGACCAGGGCCAGCGCGATGCCGAGGGGCTTGCTGACGGCGGGGGCGCGGGGGAGGCGCCCGCGGAGGTTTCGACCGCGGCAGCCGCGGCGGCGGAGACGGGAGACGCCGCTGCCCAAGCCGCAGCGGCTGCGCAAGCCGCTGCGAGCGCCGCGCCCTCTGGCCGGGCCGGCGGGGCGCTTTCGCCTCCCGCGGCCGCTGGCCGGGCAGCGGCGCCCGCTG